GTCATGCCAAGCAGCTTGAACTCCCCCATGCCAGCATCGAGCGCGCTTCCCACCGGGAGGTTCGAATCATCATAGTGCTGGGGGAGTAGCTGTTCCAACCCTTCGACCCCAAAGGAATCGCACGTATGAATCTTCTCAGAGGAAACGCACACACATCATATGTTATCACTACACACTGCCTCTTTCAAACTGATTGCGCTCACTGCGTGACATTCCAGAGAATTCCATCATCACTTGAAAACAGGGCGGCTAGTCCAAAAAGAGGTCAATAGAAAGCGATGCCCCCTAGTTATGTTTGTTCGTTTCGAAAACCGATTGAACTACAGTCAAAACAACCTTAAAAGCGTACTTGTTAATATATAGTTGTTTCAATGTCATTTGCATCCAACTCAATTAAGATACGCATGGTATTTCCATTCCGTTAAGTAATACTAATTTCATATTCCCACTCAACACTAATGAACAATCATACTAGTTCAGCTATTATAGTTCAAAATACCCAGTGGGGTTTTAGATTTCTAGTTACTGCTCTAGATATTAGAGCAATCTAGTAATAAGTCAATTACAATACTGGTTATTATGGTTATAAAACTTATTTTTTCACTAAAAATCGACCACTGTTTTTTTTTCTTTTGGGGGGGGGGCACTTCCCAATCCTCCAAACGTCCCAAGTCCCGGGGCCGCCCGGCCCGGGCGGAACTTTTGAAACTGCGACTCCTCAGGCGTGTCTGGGCCATGGGTTGGATGATGTTGGGCCATGGGTTGATGGGATGTCCTGTACCCTGTACCCATTCTGTTCACACCAAAAATCACTGGGATTTATAGATGGTTATTCCCCCAAATATGATGGGTGTTGACCCATCTCCATATCCATAATGGGAATATAGATGAATTATGTCTTGTGAATGGAGTAAACATCATTGGGATATATGATGATATATGTATGGGATTCCCAACTCAAGAACTGGATATCTGTGGAGTTCTATAATACCCAACAATTTATATGTATCCACAGTTCCTGGGAATACAGTAAATTATGCCACTTTTATTACATCATTGGGAACTATTTATGGGGATAATATTTCATATTGGGATATATAATGAAAGATAAACCAACCTTAACAATACCTTAACATCTTAACACAATATTCGGAAACCGTGGTTCTTACCATCAAAACATATTCTTACCATCAAAACATATCAAATCTGCTGGTTCTCTGTGAAAAAAATAATCATCCGTGTCTGAGATACTGCAGTGAAGTGTCTGTAGATTGGATGGACTTTGGATGTCGTTATCAGTACTAAATCAGCCTGTATCTGATGGGTAAGACAAACCTTTAGAGAGTGCAGCATTCTGCTGGTTCAAACCTCAAAGGCGAGAGGCTGATCAAGACCTTTCGCTGCGTTTAGGGCGCTGATTAAAACCAGATCATTCGGGAAACGCCACGTGTAAACCTATTAAATCAATATATTATCATTCGGGAAACACCTATCATATATTATCATATCATGCCTCTTGGGCCAACATTGGGGTTTCCTGGTCATACAAAGGGCGTGCTTGGTGTTTTGTTCGAGCTAGATGAACCAAGCTTTCCGGTTAAATCCAGTTACGCCCCCATGTTATCCCCACCACTGACCATCGTCCACCAAAAGATTCTCCATTGTGTTGAGAAAAACTGGAAAACTAGTTGTTGGTCATTGCATGGCATTCTAAGTGGAAGAAATCTATCATATATAATTAAAACTCACAACATGTAAAGTCATTGGCCATCAAACCGAACCAAGCAAGACCTATGCAATGGCAAAGCACCAAGACATTTGTTGCTGAACAAACCCACAACTGTGTCGACTATTCCCCTCCGTTTATTTAACATAGCTATGGGGCATGGCACATAGAAATAGATCATAAAATGATCGATTTACCTCTCAAAACTTGTGATTTTCCAGTTTGCAAACCCTAAACCCTACAACCAAAGGGTAGACTTCCGAGTCATCAAGATTGACCCTCCAGGAGGGTGTCACATTGCCATCCAAGTGACTGTCATGAACAACGATCCGTGCAGGCTCTTGTCACCTGCGGCTGAGGCAGAGAAAAACAAGGTTTCAACGCCTGTAAGAGGCCATGTCGGTGGTGACATCAGACAATCACAGGATGACGGAGGAAATGTCCGAAACACTCCGAAACTGTAGTAATTTGCACATGTTTATTTTCCTTCAGTAAATTTGTGGTAAAAAATCAATGAAAGGGTCGCCTCAAAATTGGGAAATCTAGTCAAACATGGCAATTGGACATCCCAGAAATAATGAAGGTTTATAGCTGGAATAATAATCTACTAATTAAATATATTACATGAACACATGGGTAATTTTCCCTTTCAAAGATGGGATTTTACAAAGAAACAAAGCAACATGATCCATTTGCAGATGACCAAAAAATACCACTTGAAGATATGGATTTCCCAGCAGCTCACCCGGTTGATGCGCCTAGCTTACCGGACATTTGGGCAAAGATTCCTGGCACCAAAGGTCAGCTACCAAGTTTGAGATGACAAAACGGGACAAAGAAATACACAGTGAGACAGGCACTTGTTTTAAGCAGCAAAGTGTATATTAACATGTTACTAAGGTCAGATTGACCATGGCAAGGTCTGATTTTTGAGTTCATCATGTTGGACATGTTGGTATCATAATCTCTGATAAGGCCACACAGGAGATGCGTTCCAAAAGTCTCTGGGTGTGTAATGGTGCGTACTTGCCCTACATTTTGGATTGACTTTGCTGCGCATCATGAACACATGCTACATCATCTAAACCCTGTCAGCAAGCTATGTCAACCAGGGTCAGTAGAAGAAGGAACACCTTCTACTCAATCACAAGGCATGGGTCAAACATGGTCCGCCCCATGGATCAGTACATCCCCAAACAGGTCAGCTGTGCGGAAACAAAACAAGGAATACCCTTCTTCACCATGTTGCTGCAACTTCTCTTTCACCTCGCTGCCGAGTTGCCGAGAAGCCGAGTCAGATATGGGGTCGATGGCAGATGGATTTTGGGTATAGCCGTACCGGCTCAATACGTCCCAGCCACGTGCGGCTGGTTCAACCAATTTGAGCCTAGTTAGTCACCCGTGTTTTTGTCTCATGGAGTTTTCGAAGCGCGTCATTGGTGCTGGACGTTGGAAGGGCCACCTTGACTATGAGCCTTCGATTTGGCCATTAGGCAATGGGGAAAGATGCAACTTGGTGGCGAAGGTTGTGATCAGAGATGACCTTACAGACGGAGGACATTGGTGCCAAGGAGTGATTACTGGCCAACGGTTTCGCTTAGTAGCTCATTTGCCCATTGAAGTTGGTTGTCCAAAGGTTACAATTCTTAATGCTGCCAAGACGTACTATCGATGGCCGATGTTGGTAATTGACAAGAAGGCGGAGCTTCTCATCCACCCGACAGAGGATCAGGTCCGCATAACAGAGCTAGTTGAGACGTGCTCAGGCCTTGGTGGAATTGCGTGTGGTGCTTCCTATGCAGGTTGGACACTCCATGCGCAAAATGACCTCAATGCCAATTTTGTGAAGCTGCAACAGCAAAGCAGTCCAGTGCCTATCATCGAAGGGGACATTGGTAACATGCACACGGTTATAGCACTGCATAAGGCTTACCCCCGAGCAGGGTCCATGGCCTTTGGGTTTGCGTGTCAGCCGTATAGTTCTGCTGGAGACAAGAGAGAAGGTTTGGATCCAAGGGCATTAAGCCTACCATATAGCCTTTATGCTGCCCATCTTTTGCAGAAAGACATAGTTGTGTGTGAATGTGTCCCAGGAGCAGCTACCTCCACATACGTTCTAGCCTGTTTGGATTACCATATGGAGATGACTTCAAGTGATAGAAGTGAAATCCTTTTGGAATTAGCAGACATGTGGCCTTCCAAACGTCGTCGTTGGTGGACAGTGATTGTCAAACAATACATTGGCAAAGTTCCCCTTCAGTCGCTGCCTAAGCTTGGTATGGATATTTCGATTTCATGCTTGCTGCCGCAGTTTATGACATTAGAACATGCCGAGCTGCAGATGCTTCTGTTGTCACCAGAAGAGCGTAAGGGTTTTGCTTCATATGGAAAGGGAATAGGAGCCAATGTGGTAGATAAGAACTTACCATTGCCAACAGCGTTGCATTCATGGGGAAATCAGTTGATTGCATGCAGCTGTGGATGCAGAGGACCTTTTAGCCATGAGCGTTTATCCAAACATGGTCTATTTGGAGCACTTGTTCATGTGCCAGGCATGCCACCAGATCAGAATCTCCGTCATATTGCCCCCAAAGAAGTAGCACTCCTTACTGGTTTTCCCAGGAAAGATGGGTGGGATGCTCACCCTAGATTGTTGTTAGCAGGCCTTGGACAGGTTGCATCCCCCATTCAAGCCGCATGGATCTTTGCCATGATTCGACAACATTTAGTGGATTCCAAGATCATTCCTGGGCCCCATATGGCTCCCAAGGAAATCTTGACGTGTGTCACTACTGACTTGTTTGACTTGCGAGATCAATGGACTCCCAACAACACAAGTGCTTCGACACAGTTGTTTCAGGAAAGTTTTGATGAATGGTTGTTGACCAAAGAACCAACTTCTGGTCACAATACTGATCCCATGACTCATGATGAAATGACTACGAGTCAAGAAGATGTCCTTTTGGCAGAAGTTCGTAAGCTTGAAACCTCTTGTGAGGGTGCAAAGCGAGGTCCACCATCCGCCGCAGGTCAGGTCACTCCTAGGGAGACAGAGAGGGATGCTGAGATCCACAAAGGGCAGTCAAGTCCGACAATTCATGGATCAACTCATGCCTTCGGGGAAGATAGCAAGCCTAGTGCATCGAGTGGACTCATCAACATGTATGCTCCAGGTGACCATGTCCCAATGAGCCCATCCATTGTTAAAGAGGATAATGAGAGTGCACCCCATGTGAATGCCCTGAAGCCACCTGTTTCCTCGCAGGTTGAACATAGTCCTAGTACAACAGAAGCGCCAGATGCCAACCAAAGCCATCCTGAGTCTCACCATTTTGACATGCATGCAGGTGTAGAGATTCACAAATCCTCTGAATTCAAGTTGTTTCACCATTCAGGCACCGCACCAGCCTTTACAACCGACACAGCCAAAGCAGTCTCAGATTTTGCAGATTCACCGTCGTTGTCCCATAATTCAGTCAACAATACAGCAGTGATGTCGCCACGAGCATCACCGATGTGGGAGGCATCAGGTGCCATCTCGGCTTTTGCCACAGGGTCTTCCAAGGTCTCCCATTTGCAGCAGCCAGCTCCCAAGCAGTTGACAGGAGAAGCTCAGTCCACTAACCATCAGCTTAGTCCTTCCCCCCGAGAGTTGGTAGAGCCTGGGGTTTTGGTGTATGATGCGGACTTGCATATAATTTCCCATCAAAAATGTGCCCATGATGCGACCTTTGCTCAATGGTGCCAGGCCAATGAAGCATTAGGGGCCCAAGCACAAGCAACATGGGATCTTTTTGGCTCCCCCATCGCACCAGATACCTTGCTGACTCAACTGAAGTGGATCATCACCGGAAGTACACCAGTGTTTCGTGGAGCTTCAGACCTTGAAACAGTTACAAACATGCTAGTTCACATGCCTCGCATTGAATCAGCTCTACTACAAGGGCCTGCAGTAGCTTCTGATGAAATGATGTTTTACCTCACGGCCATTTCTGCAGTTGGACTTGCCAAAGCCAAGCCGCCGTTCATCTTAGATGGTATGACAGATCTCTTGGTGGATGCACAGATTTGGATTGAGGGGGTTGATCATATCAACCAGTTCAATGCCCAACAAATGGTATATTCAGCAGATAAATGGATGAACTGTCTTCCAGTCCAGGAAGCCACCGTCACAGCGCTGTGGTTCAAGTATCACTGGATTCCGGTATGGTTGGTCCCCACTGCTGATGGAATTACGGTTCATACGACCTTTGAGGGAATTCAAGTATGGGAGCTCCTTTTTCCGTGGTGGCAAACCATTGTCCAGGTTCATGATGCATTACCACCGTCTTTTGATCATGATTGTGGTTTTCGTACCTTTGCGTGGTTAGTCAGCCAGAGCACACAAACGCCACTTGCGTCTTTGTCAGTAGCTGAGGCTTGGGGGTGGAGACATTTGTTTTGGCAATCCTTAGTCACCAATCCCAAACCGGTGGGTAGATTTGTGCTAGGTGGACAAAGTGAGCTTGAGACTGCATTGCAAGCAATCCTGCGAGAACACGGAGTTTTTGCTAGCCGCCTTCCAGAAAGAGCAGCAATTTTGATCCGCAGTTTTCCAGGGCAATCTCTCAGTGCGGTTTTCCAGAGTAGCCGACCGTGGCAATCACTTAAAAAGCTTGCATCCAGTCACAAACCGCCTATCAGACTGGTGTTGGAAGATGAACTCCAGAGTGTTATCAAGTCCAGAGCTAAAGATAAGAAATCAGTTCAAGCCAAAGGGAAAGCCCCGCACGGTTTGCAATTGCCTCAGCATGTTCGACCTGAAGATATCCTAATCCCGCATGGTATTTTTCGCCTGCAGTCTGGAGAACCAGTGTCCCATTTGAATCCACAGCAGCTGGGTCAAAACTTGCATGGAGTTATTGCTTTTACCGAACAGGATGTGCAACCGTATCTACAACATGCCCCTGCCGCCGGAGTAGGAATTGGGTTTTTGGTGCTGTCTCCGTATTCAGAAACCATTGCCCAGCAAGGCCAAGTGGTACGTTTTCCAGTGCAGAGTAAGGTCACATCAGAGCCTATGCTTGTGTCTGCCGTATTGTTGCAAAGAGGTGCTGTCAACATTGTTCGTAACATCCCTGCTCAGCCCACAGCGGTAGAGCAGGTGCAGACGCAGACGATCAAATGCCTGTTGTACAGAGACCAATTGAATGACCAATGGCAGACAGTTGTTAATGCGCCGGTCAAATACATAATCAGCATGACTGAGGTTTTGCAAGTATGTAAACAGACCGACTGCAGCTGCGCTAAGTGGCACCCAGCCACGAAGCAGTCCGATACTCCCATCCTCGATGTGTGGCAGAGAGATTATCTCTCGATTCATTTCCAAAAAATCAGACAAACAGACGCCCAGATCTACGTTGTGGCCATGCGAGTGACCTCGGATGTGTACGATGGGCTTTTCAGGATGTCTGGCACCGGAGGTTTGTATGTCGAGCCGCGTGCAGATGACGGGCGAGGACAAGACCCCAAGTATCACACCATCTGGATTCCGAGACAACCTCTCTCTGAGGTCAAGGCACTGCAGGCCATGCTCACGACTCCAGTTTCCCTGATCAGGGTAGGTTTCCGCTACGGTTTCAAAGTTATCGTTGAGATGGCAGAACAGGTGCATACACAGATCAATCCACATGAGCCATTCATTGCTGGGGCAAGTAAAGCCACATATCGTGTTGGTCCATTTCCATGGGGCACTACAAAGAAGGCCATTCAGTCTTTGTTTGCTCAGTGGCAGT